ATTTATAACCTATAAAATATATATTTTACTTTAATATAATTAAATAATATACTATTTCTAAAACATCTGTTTTAAGAAAAAAGTTTGAAATGTAATCAATAAATTATAATTCAATATTATAATAATAAAAATATAATGAATAAAAGTGCCAGGATACAGCATTTTATGCATAAAGAAAACGCGAATTTGTGCCAAAAAATCTGAGCCAGACTCTTTGATTTGCAGTTCTAGTCTCTCACAGTACCTGACAGGTGTAAATCAAAGTGAGGCTCGGGTGTTTGCAGTATACGGCGCTCCAACGGCCTTTTCTTTGCGTGTGGCCTGCGATTAGCCGATGGGGAACAGACACTTCAGACGTGAAGCCCAGCAACCAAACAAAGACCATCACGGGGAGGAAGTGGTATAATTAACCCTTTCAGGTCACGTAATTCATTCTCGCACAATACCCCCATGCAGTCTGTTCCCGCCACCGAGTCCGACAACTATAGACAAGAGCTCGGTGCACATTCCTTACAAAACATCTCTCAGATAGAATTTTTTCCGCATTGCAGTGTTTCATTTAAATTTCAAGCAACTTGGAATATCAGGAATGTGAGATGTTCATGACAGCTAGACATAACACTAGGGGCAAGGACGTGATGTAGTGAAATATTAGACTCAAATGTAGGTCCAGGAGCGAAGACGGAGGGCAGACAGTGAGTGTTCAGGATGTGAAGCGTTTGGCTAGCTGGGCTGGTTTATATTAGCTAAAGGGTGGTCTGTCGTGACTCCAGCATGCAAAAATGTAAATGGAGATGCAGAGAGACACACACAGACGCACTCCTCATGGCTGGGCTGAGATGGATTGAGGACAGTGGCTGGGAAAAAAGACCTCACAATATGTCACTGCTGGCGTGAGGGACAAAAGAGACTCCCAACTCTCATTCGAGAGAGAGCGAGCTCAATGAAAACGAGGGAATGAGGATTTATGCTGCCATTTCTGACCATATCCGAGAAAAAAGAGAAAACCCGGACATAAAAGAATCTCCTGACACTCTAGCAGCCTTGGCTCTGATTAATGTGGAGAGATCTTACATTTTTGTGGGCTGCACTTGTAGTTTGGACGGGCTCTGGAACAGCATACCAGACACGGGGAGTTTTTGTTTCTGGAAATACATCCTGTAAAAAGCTGCTAAAACGGACTCAGAACAGACTGAGCAGTTAAACTTTCACTGTGACACAAAAATATGTATTTTGATTTCTCTGATGACTTTTGAAAAGCACATTGCTGTGATTTTGCCGCCTGGAATAAATTTCAAGATCTCTTTTACTGCAAAATCATACTGCAAAATTACAAACAGCTGACAAGACCGATAAATGACCGATATTAAAATTCTATACATGTCTAAATCATTTTTTTATTTTTTTATAAAAATGTTCTAAAATAAAAATTTATAAATTAAAAATAGAACCCTAAAAACAATCATTTTTAAATGCTACAAGTGAATTTAGACATGACAACATTATAATGTACAGTATAAAAAATATATTTATTTTGAGGCTTGATTACGATCTCTTTTACTGTAAAATCACACAGCAAAAACCACAAATAGCTGACAAGACAATAATCGTTGTTTTTGATAATAACCGATAAATTGCCAATATTAAAATTCTATACCATGTCTAAATAAATTAAAATGAATTTTAATTAAAAATGTCTAAATTAATTTAAAATTAAATAGTAACAACCAAATGCTACAAGTGAAGCAGGCATGACAACATTAAAATGCACAGTATTAAAAAATATATTCATTTTGAGATTTGCTGAAGATCTCTTTTGCTGCAAAATCATTCTGCAAAATTACACATAGCTGACAAGATAATAATCTTTGTTATTGCTAATAACAGATGAAATCAACAAAAAAGTCTAAATTAAAAACAAAACACTAAAACAATAGTTTTTAAAATGCTTGTAAAGGTGATAATCTTTGTTTTTGTTGACAATTGATAAATGGCCAATATTAAAATTCTATACCATGTGCAAATTAAAAATGTGATTAGATAGATAGACAGACAGAGATTTTTTTTAATTACTAATATATCTCTAATATGGATGTACCAACACGGTACCGATATCCCAAGACTGGTCATTCTTCCATCAGTGGAAGGACTCAGGCTCTATAGCTTCCGCAGGACTTCTAGGAAGAGCAAATAATGACACCATGAACTGTCCAAAATAAACGCGCAAACAAAACCCAAGCGAGGTCACAGGTTATGCTCATCTCTCGTTCCTCCAGGTGCTTCCTGAAAATTGGGTTCAATAATAAGCTCTAGACATCACCATGTTGTCATCCTGACCAGGCTGTTGATTTACTTTTCATAGTATGTGATGTAAACCAACATACGCCAGTCACCGTGACAGGAAGCTAGTGGAGTCCATCCTCTACACACGGATATTCATCACAGCCTTCACAAGCACAACGGTCGGTGGACGCCCACTTTTTCAGCCAGCCTTAGTTCTAGAAGGATTTTTCCTATTCATTTTCTCCATTGGAATTTCAGGGAAGTATTTAATTAAAAGTTGAAACATTACCAACTTTGATTTGAACATCTATTGTGAGGAAATAAACTACTCATTCCATAATGCACTGTGAATGACGTAACTGAATCAGAAATAAATGTACAATATTAAACTCTAAGTCACTGATTGCAAGTACAAGAAATACGTCAACAGGTTTTGAAGAAGAAATGTCAGCTCAGCTGTTCTACACTGATGGATGTGGTCAGTGTATATTTAGTGCTCTTGGAAGTGGCAGCAGGTCTTTTGGGAATCGAGCTTGCATCAGTGTGCAAACAGGGCATGCAGCGGGAAGAGGAAGTTCCATCATGCCTCATTGAGCCTAAACGCAAACCACAGACTCTCCTGAGACTCAGAAGCCATCAATGTAACATTGACGCATTGCCACTGATGAAGGGAAAGCCTTCAACATTTACACGAGCATTAACTGAGGTTTTATGTATGAATTGATTATATGATGCTGCTAATTAGATGCTCATTTTACACTACTGTTCAAGAGATTGGGTCAGTAAGATTATTATTTTTTTAAATTAAAACAAATTAAATATTTTTATTCAGAAAGCATGCATTAAATTGTTCAAAAGTGACAGTAAAGACATTTATAATATTACAAAAAAATTTCCATTACAAATAAATGCTGTTCTTTTGAACTTTTTACCCATCAAAGAATTCTGGAAAAATATATCACCATTTCCACAAAAATAAATAAATAGATAAATAAATGTAAAAACACCACCCGTTTTCACCAATGATAATAATAACAAATGTTTGATCAAATGTTAGAAAACTGTTATTTTAAATGGTAATATCTCACAATATTACTGTTTTTACTGTATTTTTGATCAATGCAGCCTTGGTGAACATAATAAACTTCAAAAACACACACACAAAAATCTTAGCAATCCCAAACTTTTGAATGGTGGATTATAAAAGCACAGACTATTATAAAACATATAGTTCCAGCTACATTCTGATTGGATGACCCATTCTGAAAATGAAAAAATATGTACGCTCTGAAAAAAAACAAAATTTGCAAGAAATTTGAAGTTAGTTAAGGTGTTTGCGTACACGAACAAAAAAATTAATAAGTAATTAAAAAATTAATGAAAAAAATTGGGATAATTGGCAAAAATCTATGCTTTTTGCTTAAAATGATTATGATCTGTGATGAATGATGTATGTCATGATGAATGATATAGAACATTTATTTTTTACAAACACTGTACAACCACAATTATACAATTTCTAAACAATTTTACAATTATCGATTAGTGGACATTAAAACAGTAGAAAAAAATTGCATATACTTACACTGAACAACTAAATGTAAAAATAAACGATTAATAAATACTCATTAAAAATGTGGTGACTATAATCATTAATACATTGTAACTATTGAAATACTTGTAACTACTAAACATTGGTATTTTGTATTATTGTCTTGGATCATTTTCTTAAAGCAAGAGGACACCCGAGGTTGGGCACTATTGTATTATTCAACTGTAATGCTGTAATGTTGTTCACAACAACTGTACGTCACAAATCAAAATGTGCTATTGTACTGCTTTTGAAAAACCTGGCTCACTCAGTTTGAAAGGAGCTTTGGGTGCTGTGAATAAAGTGCACACACACACACCCTGCTGAGTTTGCTGAACCTTCGTTAATATTCCAGTAGGCCATCATCCTCATGCGTTTCCTGTGCTGCAAAGGGACAGGACAGAGCAGCGCAGAGGGAAAAACCCCGAGCGTGCTGAGAAAGCGAGTGGGTTTAACCTGATCTGAACCAGATGCCTGTAAGAGCTCCAGATGCGAGTCAGTAACATCCCAGAAACAGACCCAGATGGAGCGACGTGATTCACGAACACGCTCCTTCAGCAGGAGAGGAACCGTTAGACACAGGACAAAGACTCAGATGGAAGAAATAGCCTAAATTAAATAAAGAAGTCAGGCTAATGCCAGGTTCCCTCTCTGGACTTCCTCCAAAGTGGTTCCTCTTTACTGTACAGTACTTTTCAAGTACATCAGAAAAGTACAGTCAGTTGAAGCTTGTTCTAATCCACAGTCCCAAACAAATTCAGTTAAAATGAACAGTAGTAGTTTGATTTGATGCAAAAACTGCAGTCCATTGTTCACTATGTCATACTGTCTTAAGACAGTTCCAGAGGATGATGTAGAACGTAGGCGTAGCATAAGCTCCGGTGAGAAGTGACGAACGCTGAAGCGCAGAGGAGAGAGCAGAACAAAACACCGGTCACGAATTACAAGCATAAAACTCGGATTTGTAAATAAAATTGTCAGATCATTTTGATATGTCAAGAGGAGAAAAGGAGACCACAAAACTTGGTTCTCGCAAGAATAGCATATTCTCACCGGAGCTTACGCTACACCTACATCATCCGCTGGAACACCATTCTCATGTACGACAGTTAGTGGACACACTGCAAAAAGTACATTCACTTAGGCCTGGACGATAAAACGGTATCGATATTTATCGACGGTACACCTTCACAAACATGAACATGAGTGCTGTGCCTGCCTGTGATGAGGAGATTGTGAATTAAAAAAAAGAATATTAGTCAAATTTAAAATAAACATTTGCATTTGAATGCAAAAATTGTACAATCGAATGTTAGGTGTGCGTCAAGGAGCGTCGCAGTGGCGTGCGAGATGCAGTGATGATGATGTAAGTGACGTTGTAGTTTAATGTTTTGTTAGTCTTGCCCACGAGACACGCAGTTGCTGCGTTATTCATTCAAAATATTAGAGATATATAGTAGCTCAATGCGTAGAAGATCTTGATTAGGTTGAAACCAAGCCATTCACACAGA